TTTTTGGGCTGTTTGGGGGATATTTTGGGGCTGGTTTTGGGCAGTTTTTGGCTGTTTTTGGGCTGTTTTGGGCTGGTTTTGGCTGTTTTTGGGTGTTTTTGGCTGTTTTTTGGGCTGTTTTCGGCTGGTTTTGGGCTGGTTTTGGGCTGTTTTTGGCTGTTTTTGGCTGTTTTGGGCTCTCTCTCACCTTTGGCCGAGCCCAGCACGTCGCCGTAGCTGAAGCCGCCGACGAAAACCAAACCCCGGAACCCGTCGAGGGAGGCGCCGTCGGAGCAGAGATCCTGCGTGGTCACGTCCCACACCTGGGCCCAAAAACCCGATCAGAGCCCAGAATTCCCAAAAATTCCCAAAAATTCCCAAAAAAACCCGGATCAGAGCCCAGAATTCCCAAAAAACCCGGATCAGAGCCCAGAATTCCCAAAATTCCCAAAAATCCCAAAAAAACCCGGATCAGAGCCCAGAATTCCCAAAATTCCCAAAATTCCCAAAAAAACCCGGATCAGAGCCCAGAATTCCCAAAAATTCCCAAAAAAACCCGGATCAGAGCCCAGAATTCCCAAAATTCCCAAAAAACCTGGATCAGAGCCCAAAATTCCCAAAATTCCCAAAAAAACCCGGATCAGAGCCCAAAATTCCCAAAAATTCCCAAAAAAACCCGGATCAGAGCCCAGAATTCCCAAAAAACCCGGATCAGAGCCCCAAAATTCCCAAAATTCCCAAAATCCCAAAAAAACCTGGATCAGAGCCCCAAAAATCCCAAAAATCCCCAAAAACCCCAAAAATCCCACCCAAAACCCCCAAAACTGGGAGTGAGCAAAAGAAAATTCCCCAAAAATCCCCAAAAACCTCAAAAAAACCCAAAAAACCCAAAAGGGACCCCAAAAAACCCTAAAAAAAACCCCAAAAATCCCAAAAATATCCCCAAAATTCCAACCCCAAACTCCTCAAGACGGGAGTGAAGCCAAAGAAACCCCAAAAATCCTAAAAAAGTCCCAAAAACCCCAAAAATTCCAAATAAAAAAAAACAAAATGGGAGCGAGCCCAAAAAAAACCTCAAAATTCCCAAAAAATGCCAAAAAATGCCAAAAAAATCCCAAAAATACCACAAAAAATCCCCAAAAATCCCAGGAATTC